ACTGAGTTGGGAGGTTTCCACTTTGGGTCTCTCATGGTGTTGTAGTCAGTTTGGGCTACAGTAACCTGAACGCTTGACTGGGTTGATGTCCAGGAAGAGTCACCTGAGAGACTGTTAGTGGGTGGTGCTTGTGAGCTGTGAGTCCATGGGGGCAGTTACATCACCTAATGTGGCCTCTCCATGTGGTTTGAACTTTTCAGGGCATGGCAGCTGTGTTTGGAGAGGGAACATCCCAAGTGTGAGCATGCCAAAAGACTTGAGTGGAAACTGCAAGGCTTCTTATGACCTGGCCTCAGAGGTCTTAGAATGTCACTTCCACTGTATTTTATGGTCAACAAGTGACTAAGACCAGCCTAGATGCAAAAAGAAAAAAAAAGAAAAAAGAAAATCCAAAACACCAAATCCGTTGCCATGGAGTCAATTCAAGTAATTAGACTCCACCTCTTCATCCGAGGAGGAGAGGGAAGGAGTTGACGGTAGTCATTCTTTGGAGACTATTGTAACATCCACGCTTTAAGTTGTATTATGTCCAGTGACTTTTAAAACATAAATGTCTTCATAAACAGAAAGGAGAGAAAATTTGAACAATTTATCCATACAACTTGATAGACAAGTATTCTAAAAACCATATTCCTCTTGGTAATTGCTGTGGATCTTCCACTGAGAGTTAAGTAAAGGTGCAAATGTTAATAGAGCTGCTCACTCTATTAAGGACTTATCTCCTACATCTCTGACCAGAGTTACAAATATTTTATATTTCAGAAAAATGGCCAAATACATGACAAACGTATCTCGTTCCCTGACCCCTATGTAGAAAAATATCTTAAACTTTGAGTACTCTTATAATTTATTTATCCCTCGGTAGGGTTGCCAGATAAAATTCAAGATGCCAATTTAAAGTTGAATTTCAAATAAACAACAAGTAATGTTTTAGTATAAACCTCAATTATTGCATGGAACATGCTTACACTAAAAATAATTTACTGTTTATTTGAAATTCAAATTTAACTAGAATCCTGTATTTTAATTTATTAAACCTGCAGCCCTCTGGAATAATATTGATTTTACTTCAAGCTTTTTCATGCAAGCATATAAAATAGAAAATAACTTTTGCATTTGGTTATGGTATTTACTAAATCACCTCATTTAATTCTTCCCTCTGTATCTAGGTAATCCATACCTAATTAAAAACAATCAAAGCCACACTGATTATAGACTTTTTGTAAGAATGAAAGCAAGTAGATAGATATCAAGGTCATACATAATGCTCTCCTAAAGATATTGAGATAAATACATTATTTAGCATTTCTCAGTAGCTTTAGTATCATGGCACATTTACAGAATTAGTAGACATTATTTTTTTCCCTATGACAACCATAGAATTTCACTTTGTTACAATTAATGTGATTTTCTTCTCTGTTGGGTAGAGATGAAAACAGCTGGTCACCACATGAAAATACTTCATCTATTTAAAGACAAATGTCATCTCTGATCTCTCTCTTCTTCAGGCTGAATTATGTCTGTTTATGTTTCTTCCTTGGTTCTAGTTCCAGTTGTTTTATAATTTCTGTTATTATCTTCTGGCACCTTACATGTTTTCCACATTTCTAAAACTATGGAGTTGAGATGAAACTGAATATTCTAATAAGACCTAAATAGTAAATATAATCATAAATATTGCTTTGATTATATAATGCTTATTATTAAATATATTATTTCAAATGCATAAAATATATTCAGAATGCAGAGTTGTAGAGTTGTAAAATATATGGATTAAAAAATGAACAGATTAAAGGGAGGAATAAACAATTCTGCAATTGATTACAGAGGACTTTAACACCCATCTCTTAGCAATTGATAAAATTACTAGCCAAAAAAAAAAATGTAAAAACATAGAAGATCTAAACAACACTCCTACTATCATGACCAAATTGACATTTACAGAACACTATACCCACCAAAAGCAGAATACACATTCTTTGTATTTTCACTAATGTAGACCATATGCTGGGCCATAATATAAGTCTCAACAAATTTAAAAGTATTGAAATAATATAGAGATTATATTCTGACTCAACGCAATGAAATTAAAATGCATGGACCTTGACCAGAGTTTTTAGCCACTATTCACCATTCAAATACATTTTCCCACTTTTATTAGTACAGTTTAAATTTAGTCTTTGGTGATACCTATTCTGCTTGTTTGGACACTTCTCCAGCCAATCAGTGAGCCCTTGCTCTCTAATCCTTTCAATTACTTTCCTTATGAGACACTCCATTCCATTTGGATGTTCTTTATAAATTAAAAAATGCAACTTGCTTGGCAGTGCACAGTCAATGTGCATGTCCTGACATGAGGCGACACCAACAGTCTCTTAAATTCCAGTTCTAATAGCCTTGTCTCTGCCCACATCAAACTCTCTGCAGCATTTGACACTTGGAAGCATCATTTCCTTGGACCTCCACCACCATCATGGCTTTCAAACACAATGTTATCTATGGTCTCTAAACTGCCTTCCCACTCTACTTGATGATTCCCCAGCTTGTAGTTCTCTCTTTGGAATTCTTCCTATGGACTTCTCCTCAAAGATCTCGTCTATCCTTATGCCTTCTGCTCTACCTCTATGCACATAATTTTTAATTTTACACATAGTTCCAATCTTCTTCTTGAGCTTTAAGTTCATAATCCCCATTTGGCTGTGTTGTGGGTATACACTTTACGTTAAAAAAACGATGTGTGGAAGAAATGATCACATTTCTAGATTTTTTTTTTTTTTTTTAAAGCAGCCTGAAGCTTACTCTGAGCACCCAGGCTTGTGAGAAATCAATTTGTCATTATTGCTATTTCTTGCTTCATTAGGAGATGGCAAAATTCAAATCATCTGGGAAGCCTCTCCAGTCATCTGTCATCATTCAGTGCTAGATACCATTTGAATGCCCTGTGTCAGCTCAGAGGTCTCATCAAGCTGGTCCCCATCGCTGTTTCAAGACCACACTTGGGGAAGAGTAATATTTAATAAGTTTGGATACCTCAAGTCTAGGTCCTACTTCTTCAGACAAATCCTGCAAGGTCATCAAAATTTGCTTAAGGTCTATGTTCCTGGTTTCTTCAGGCAGCTCACATCAGGGCTTCGAATCCATTCTTCCCGGCTCAGTCATGGCCGAGGAAGCAACACTGGAACAGACTCGAATTTTAAAAGTTCGGGTGAACTGAAACCATAACTGGAACAGGAAAAATTACTGGTTGATGCCCTGCTAGAAACCTAATCTCTCTCTAAGAAAACAAGGGCAGTGTATGCAGTGCATAGTAACCAAATCTCTTGCCTGTCCTTTGATTTTGGAAAACAGTGCTCTCCCCTCAAAGATGCAGTCCTACCGTGCTTCTTTGAATGTGTGTTGCTCTCCTCAGTCCTGGCAATAATCCAGTCTCATGTATCAGGCTCCTGAAAGGGCTCACTACGCTGCTTATGAGTCTTCCCTACCAGGGTTTCGACCTGTAATTTTCCCTGTTCTGGTTATAGTTCTGGATCACACAAATTGTAAAAATTGGGTCTTTTCTGCCTTTGCTTTGTCGGCTATGACTGAACCAGTTAAAAGTCCTGACTGACATGCTTTCAGTTGTCTTCTTTGGACTAGTTCGTGTTACTTATGTGTCTGATACAGATAGGAAGGAATGAAGGTGAAGTTCTACCGTCATATTAATGGAATTTTTACAGTGTGATGGTTAGCACTGTAGTCCTGGGGAGCAGTCTCCTGTGCTTCAAACCTGGCTCTGTCACTTACTATGTGACCTTTCAAAGTTACTTCTTTCTTCTGTTTCCTTATCAGAAAAAGAAAAAATCAGTAAAATGGTTTTAATAATAGAACCCATCTCATACAATTATAAGGATAAAATGAACTGGTGTGTAAATCACTTAGAATAGATCCTGTACAAAACAGTGTCAGCCACAGTTTGGTTCATACTCTTTAGGTGCTTTGAAGCTAGACATTGTTTTAATATATTCCACATTTCTAAAGACTCAAACATTTCGCTCTTCACCTCCAATCTCTTAACCAGATCCTCCCTCGGCCACTTTTGTAAGTGAGACACGCCTCCTAGAGGCCACAAGTGAAGTTTATGTCTAGCTTTTGAAAAGCCTACAGATAGCAGCCGGAGGGCTGGGCGTGGGTCTGACGTGCAGCTTCGGAGGCCCCGGTATGAGATTAGGAGAGTTTATGGTGAATCGTTTCTCCCCAGCACTTTTCAGTTCTTCGATCCTGCCTTCTCTCCGAACCTGATCTCTCCCAATTTTTATAGACCGGGGAGCGATTTCTGCGTGTGTGCGTTCATTCACTCCTTTTAGTTCATTCCACAGGTATTTTGTTGGGCGCTTAACTATGTGCGAGGCGTTGTGGGGAAAACAAAAAGTGAACTGAACGTGGAACCTGCCCGTATGGGGTTTACCGTCCAACAGAAAAAATATGTATTGTACATAGATGGGCAAACTAATGATTATTTTCTAGCTGCAGTTTTCTCATATGCAAAATGGGGGTAATATGAACTACTTCATAGGGCCGCTGAAAGACTAAACGGGAAAAAATAGAGCTCCAAATAGTGAGCTGGTTGCAAAAAAGCAGCTCAGTAAATGTCCGTTCTTCGTCCACTCCTCCCCCAGATTGAAAGTGATGAGTGCCATAACTGCAGGTTAGAACGCAACATTTTCTCAATTCATGCAATCTTTGTCGGTGTCCCCCAACGAAATTGTATTGGTTCATCCTTCGGCGTGTAATGTTTTGCCTCTAGCATTCTGTCACCCTAGTTTCAATCGTTAAAAGCTACCAACTACGAATACATGAGGTGCGCCTTAAAATTTGGGACCCCCCCCAAAAAAACCCCCAATAACTCCTACTTAGGAAAATTTAAGATTGCAAAACTCACTAAGACTCAGCGCGCAGAAGAACCACACTGAGCATGCGTGAAGCCCGCGCGGGGCGGGCAGGACCTTTGTGGGCGGGCTTTGGGTACCAGATGCTTCCGCTTCCGGCTCCATACGAAATCTCCCGCCACCGGGGCAGGGATAAGTGTCAGCGTTTGTGTATTTCTCACACTTGGTGTGGTTGCAGGTAAGAGAAACTCCTGCAGATTGTAGGACGGAGAGCAATCCTGGTGCTGAGGCTTGCAAGTCAAGGAAAGAAGGGGAGCATTTTGCGGGTGTTGGGAGCAGAAAGACTGATCGGTCGGGGGATTGGGGTGTTGGTGGGTGGTTTGTAGCAGAGACGCGGGTACTGGTGAGGGTTGAGGGGAGATGGCTTCGCTGAGGTGGTTGGGGATCGAGTGGGAATATAAAAAGAACTTGTGGAGGCCCCCTCTTAGGGGCAGATTAACCAGTAAGCAAGGTACGCCCGGGTTTGCTTGTGTTTACTTACTAATCTGTAGTGCGCAATTTCACATGTATTTCATCACATCTTTGGTGTGAAAAACAGGTGAAATTGTGCACTACAGATTAGTAAGCACAGAGATGTGGTGAAAAACAGGTGAAATTGTGCACTACAGATTAGTAAGTAAGCACAGGTAAGCCCGTGCTTACCTTGCTTATTGGATAATAACCTCCACAAATCCCTAAAAGAATTTTCAAAAGACAGTTCTGTTTCTCGAGGTCATATGATGGGGAGTAACTGGACCTGGTTCATCAAGTCTTTTTTCTAGCTAGAACCTACTGCGTCTTCCTCCGAGTTAAGGACTGCAGCCCATGCAAAACCTCATCTTTTCTCTTCAGATGGCAAGGATCTAAGGCGGTGGCACATAGACGAGTTGTGAACAGGCACTATCACGTGACGTTCATGTTGCTGGAAGTTAGGATCACCACACTGAATCTCTCCCAGCACCCCACCTCACACCATGAAAAAATTATTACAGTGGTAGAAAAATCTGGAAAATACAGAAAAACACCACTCAGGAATACCCACTGTTGACATTTTGTACATCCCCTTCAACTTCAAATTTTTTTCTCTGCATGTGGGATTATTTTTGTTTCTTGTAACTTATTACATGCTTCTTTCCAAGATAACCAAGATGCAGTTTTCTGGAGGAAAGCGGAGGAAGCTGAAGTTGACAGGTGACCAGAGAAGTGCTTGCTATCCTCATAGCCTTCAGTTTTACCTACAGCCGCCATCTGAAAACATATCTTTGATTGAGTTTGAAAACTTGGCTATTGATAGAGTTAAATGTGAGTAATATTTAAATTAGAATTCATATTTTCTTCAGAAGCTCGCTTACGTTTTATGAGAATGAAGATTTTTCCCCCCTTTCAGCAATTCATTCAAAAAATATTTACTCAGGGTTTGCTATTCGTTTATTTATTTACTGTACAATGCTTGTTTATTGAGTGCCACTATGTTTTAGATGGCAGAGATTTTGAGATGAATACTGTAATTTCCATCTTCATTGAAGCTGTATCCTTGTACATGGAGACATCCAAAATAATAATCATAATTCAAAATTTTAAGTGTTCTAGTAGAGATAAATAGCAGTGTTTAGCAGTGCTTAAAGCACAGAGGTGGAATGACTGACTTAGTCTGATTAACTCTGTGTCTTAGAGAAGTTGAAATGTGATCTGGACCTTGAAAGATTGGTAGAAATTTCCCAACAGAGAAGAAATTAAGCGTTTTTCTAAGCTGAGGTAACAGCCTGTACAAATGTTTAGAGGCATGAGAGAGAATATAATATTTGAGGGAACAGTCACAAGTTCAGGGTAGATAAAGAAGTATGAATAATGACAGGCATCTTGTGCCACGCTCGTGTAATATTAGGGTGTAAGAAGGATGCGGCATGGATGAAAGGAAGGAGCTAGGCAGGAACTGAGGCAGAAATACTAGCACTATCTTCAGACCTGTGTTACAGCATATCCTTGTGGGCAAATCCGAAGGAGAGGTGAGATGCTATTAATCATTCTTGGAGGAGCAGGATGAGAACTGCTAATACAAAGAGAGGGGCACTCAATACCTGTTTGTTGAATAAAAGAGTGGAGGCATGGGAGAAAAGGGTTTTAGGAAGGAAGTGTAACAGGGTCGGATGCTTTATAGGGATTAAAATGATGAAAAGTGTCCCTTGGGTTTGGCATGTAAGAAGTGAGATGGTAAGGGCCTGAACTAAGGTAGTGACAATGACAGTGATAGGGAGAGATTTAGGGATACTTTCTGAGTTATGATTGATAGGATTTGGTGACAGTTTGGGTATGAAGAGTGAGGGAGCAGGAGGGGAGGTGGCTGAAGTTCCTACTTGGATGATCTGGTGGATAGAGACTCTGCTTATGAAGATGGGGAAGGCAAGAGAAGGAGCAGGATTAAGGGGAAGATAATTTGGTTTGGGAAAACTTAGGAGTTGCCTGTGGGACATGAGTTCATGTACAGGAGGCAATTTAGAAGGTTTTCATTCTTGAATTAAAAAAATGCCTCTTCTGTTGAGGGAAGTAGAATTCATTTGGGGAAGAATGGACAAGGGGCTTTAGGAACCCTTGAATAGTATGTGACATCTATTCAGGACTGTTCATTTGGGTGATTGGCTGGCCCTGTGTCTTCACTGTTGTGTCCACTTCTTCTCTGTGTAAGAAAAGAAAGGATTTTTTTTTTTTGGGGGTCTCTGCTGAGTAAATGAAACAGACCCCTAATAGACAGCTCCACATGAAGGATGTAAACATTGGTGCTTAATCTTTTTTCTACCCTGATATATTGGAAGGGTACAGTTCCTTCCTTATCAATAGTGGCTTAGTATTGCAGTGATTACCCACCATTCCTCCCGCTTCCCTGGTTGAGAGTCTGGTATTAGATAATGCCGGATGCTGTGGGACGTGGATAATTTCTGCAAGTAGATCAAGATTATCCTCTTACAAACATAATTTATATGATAGACTTTCAGAAAATAAAACTGTTACAATGTCCTTTATAAACAAGCAACTGTGGAATTGCTAAAGGATCCTAGATTTTATTTGTTTTGGATTTTTTTTTTTTTAATCTTGCCTTGATATTTGTTTTCTCTCTCTTTTTAGTGCTAAAGTCGGTTGAAAATCTTGGTTTGAGCCATTTGAAAGGAACTGAGGAATACCAGAGTAAGTTAGAGGCTGAGCTTCGAAAGCTCAAGTTCTCCTACAGAGTAAGTAAAAAAAAAACCTTCAGTTTGTATATACTTATGAATTGAATATCTATTGTGGGAAAGGTCTTTTATAAAGACTAATACAGCATAGACTGTCTGAAGAAACCTGTAGTTCCCTAGAGGTGATTGACATGTAATCAGATGATTACAATACCGTAGTGTTTCTTAACCTTAGCACTATTGACATGTGAACCCCATAATTCCTTCTTCTGGGAACTGTCCTATGCATTTTAGGATGTTTAGTAGCAGCCTTGTGTCTACCTTTTAGATGCCAGTAGTAGTCTCCCTCTCACAGTTGTGACAACCAAAAATATCTCTGAAAACCCATAAGCCCATTGCCATCAAGTCGATTCCAACTCATAGCGACCCAATAGGACAGAATACAACTGCTCCATAGGGTTCCCAAGGAGTGGTTGGTGGATTTGAACTGCCAAGCTTTTGGTTAGCAGCTGAACTCTTAACCACTGTACCACCAGGGCTCCAAAAATGTCTCCAGTCATTGCTAAATGTCTGTTGGGGGCAAAATTGCACTGGGCTGAGAATCAGTGCAATATAGAGTGATGAATGCTATTATTGGAAGTGTGCTCCATGAACTCCAAGAACACATACAGTTACTCAGGTTAGGGAGGTTTGGGACGGCTTCCTGGAGGAGTTAGTGCTGGAACTGCATCTTGACAGATGTGATCACATCTTTATTTTGGGAAGATGCCAACAATAGATTGAAAGGGTCATGTCAGGTAGGAGGGAGACAGGAGTCTGGAAATGATGAGAGTCTGAGCTAAATGGAGAGAAGAGGACTGGTTAAAGAGATAATAAGAAGATATAGTTAAAAAAAAAATGTTAGTGACTAATTGCAGGAGGAAGAGAATGGGAAAGTGTTATGAATGACACCCAGGTTTCCAGTTAGGGTGACTAGGTGGTTGGTGGTGATATTTTGAGATGCGATACACAGGAGGAGAGGCAGGTTTTGGAAGGACAGTATTGAGTTCTAGACATGAATTTGAGGTGCCTGTGGAGATGTCTAGTGGGTGATTGGATATACAGGTTCGGACATAGGAGATGTCCCTGTTGGGAGTATAGATTTAGGGGAAGGTTGGAAACATTGAGAGTAGGTTAGAGCACCCTAGGAAAGTATTTGAGAAAAGAAGATTATGGAGGGCAGGACGTGAAGAATATCAATATTTAAGGTGAAGTGGAATTAGAGGAGTCCGGGAAGAAGATTGGGAAGGAGCTGCCTGAGAGGTTGATGAACCAGGATAACAGTGTCATGGAAATCAAGGAAAGTTCGTGTAAAATGGTAGTAGTACCTTCAGAACCTGGCTAACTTCGGGGGATATAGTGAGACTCAGGATCAGCCCAAAGCTGATCCCTATGAGGTGGAGGTCAGACATACCTCCATTCTCCAACCTCTTTACCAATTCTGGCAATAGCTGTCCCTCCCACAGCACTCTCTACTTCTCTTTTGGGTTTGATAATTTGTTACAGTGGCCACAGAGAACTCACAGACCGCTAATGGACAGCTCCACATGAAGGATGTAAACACTATTGCTTAATCTTTTTTCTACCCTGATACACTGGAGGGGTACAACTCAGGATCAGGATCAGGAAGCATGTAGGCGGTCTTCTTCAGTGCAGGACAGCTTTCTTGGCTTCTCTTGGCCATGCAAGCAAGCAGGCCCCATCTCAGCTGTGCAGGCCTCTTCTTAGCCCCCTGAGGGTAGGCTTCCTCTCAGCCCCCTCAGGACAGGCTTCGCTCAGACCCCTTAGGACAGGCCTCTCTGCCCTCGGCCTCCCTACTGTCACTGCCAAATCTGCCGCAGGACCCCTTGCAGGCCTGTCACCACTGTCTCTGCCACAGGGCCCATTTCGGGCCTGTTGCTGCTGACTCTGCTGTCGTGCCGCTTCAGGTCCTCTCGCTATCTTTAGTGGCACAGCCCTTGACCTGTGTTACAGCTCTTTTAGGAGGTCTCCCCCTCCACACTTCCTTTCTTTTCTTGCCTTTCCTCCTTTCTGCTGCTTGCTTCTGTCTGCTGGCCTCTGTGGGGTTGGCTGCATGTATAAGCAAACTCCTGGTAAATTTCAAGACATGGCCCTACCAGCAGAGCCACAAACTGACCAATCCTGTCTCGTAGGCCACGGACACTTCATTTGCATACAAGGCTATAGTCACCTCATTTGCATAGTATTTTGACCAGTCCCTGCAAGGTGCCTACCAGTCACAGGGCAGACTGTAGCCAAGGGCCAGACAAAAAGTCAGGTTGTTTACAGCTTGCCCAGGAAGTATTAATCAGCCTGGACAAAAGTAACAAACCCTCTGGGGTAGAAAACTAGGGTGAAGGTAATTTCTCAGGGTTTAGGGATATCTCTCAAGATGTTTTTCCAAAGAGCTAAGGCAAAAGGCCACATAAAGGAACTTGCTTTACCACAGCTAGAGTTTCAATAATAGTAATAATATTAATCATGATAATACTAATAGTAATAACAATAGCAAATACTTGTAATATGCTTACTATGTATATACTGTTCTAAGCACTTATGTATATTAACTCATGTAATCCAGACAACAGTCTTATGAGATAAGTATTATTATCCCCATTTTATAGAAGAGGAAACTGAGTTGATAGGCTAAGTAATTTGCTCAAGCTCATTAGGTAATAAATGGTGGAGCAATGATTTGAATCTGGGCATTTTGTCTCCATGGTTGGTGCTTTTAACTACAACACTTTCAGAAGCTTAGGGTAAGTCCTCTAAGATGAGTTGTACAGTGCCCATTGGATTTAGCAGCTGAATGAGCTCTTATAGATTGGAACAGAAATCATATTAATGGCAGTGGTTGGAGGAGGAAGGTGAAGAGGTGGATATGAAATATTTACTCTTAAAATGTTGAACTGAAGAGATGGGAGAAATAGGGCAGAATCTAGAGGAAGTTGTAGGGAAAAGACAAAATACACACACGTATATAGCAGGAGATACTTGGATATGTTTATAAATTGAGTGGAAATATCTAAAAGAGGAAGTGGAGGTGAGCTTGAAGATAACTTTGCTCAGAGAGAATTTGATAAAGTCCTAAGAGGCAGAACGGATGGGTGTAGGAGGAACAAGAGATGCTTTATCCGTAGCGGTGGATGTGAAGGTTCTGCAACAACGTGGATGCAGTAGCTAAGAGTTGAAGGTGCCTCTGCCTGGTGGCCTTTATTACCATAATCTGCCGACAGGGAAGGGAAAGGTGGCATAGTAGGGGGCTTGGGGCAACCAGTGAAATTTGAAATTGGTTTTCTGAAAAATGAGAAAGGAGATGATAATGTATCAAATCCTCGCTCTGCTGCTTACAAGCTTTGCCTCTGGAAAAGTTGTATGACTTCCCTGTGCCTCGTTTCCTCATCTTTAAAATAGAGATATAATCATGTCTACCTCATAGAATACCAGAAAAATGTTTACCTGTGTTTTATTGACTATGCAAAGGCATTAGACTGTGTGGATCATAACGAATTACAGATAACATTGTGAAGAATGGGAATTCCAGAATACTTAATTATGCTCGTGTGAAACCTGTACATACATAGATCAAGAGGCGGTCATTCCAGCAGAACAAGGGGATACTGGGTGGTTTAAAATCTGGAAAGGTGTGCATCAGTGTTGTATCCTTTCACCATAGTCTGTATGCTGAGCAAATAATCTGAAAAGCTGGACTGTATGAAGAAGAATGTGGCATCGGAATTGGAGGAAGACTCATTAACAACCTGTGATATGCAGATGACACAACCCTGCTTGCTGAAAGGGAAGAGGACTTGAAGCACTTACTGATGAAGATCAAAAACCACAGCCTTTAGTATGGATTGTTCGTCAACATAAAGAAAACAAAAATCATCACAAATGGACCAGTAAACAACGTCATGATAAACGGAGAAAAGATTGACGTTGTCAAGGATTTCATGTTACTTGGATCCACAATCAATGCCCACGGAAACAGCAGTCAAGAAATCAAAGGACGCATTGCATTGGGCAAATCTGCTGCAAAAGACCTCTTCAAAGTGTTAAAAAGCAAAGATGTTACTTTGAGGACTAAAGTGTGCCTGGACCCAACTCATGGTGTTTTCAGTCACCTCATATGCATAGGAAAGCTGGACGATGAATAAGGAAGACTGAAGAAGAATCAATGCCTTTGAATTATGGTGTTGGCGAAGAATATTGAATATACCATGAACTGCCAGAAGAACGAACAGACCTGTCTTGGGAGAAGTACAGGCAGCATGCTCCTTAGAAGCGAGGATGGCAAGACTTAATCTAATGTATTTGGACATGTTATCAGGAGGGACCAATCCCTGGAGAAGGATATCATGCTTGGTAAAGTAGAGGATCAGCAAAAAAGAGGAAGACCCTCGACAAGATGGATTGACACAGTGGCTGCAACATTGGGTTCAAACAGAAAAGTTTGTGAGGCTGGCACAGGAGGGGCCACTGTTTCGTTCTGTTGTACGTAGGGTAGCTATGAGTCAGAACTGACCTGATGGCACCTAACAACAACACCACAACCTAATAGAGTTATTTTAAGGATTAAATAGGTTAATATGTGAAAAATGCTTAGAATTGTACCTGGAACCTAGTTAACACTCAAGACGTGTTCACTCTTACTATTTTGAACTTGAATAAGGATTCCTTGGCATTGGTAACAGTTCTCTTGAGGTTAAAAACAGAAACAAAAACAAAAAAACTCTGTTGCCGTTGAGTTGATTCTGACACATAGCAACCCTACACGACAGAGTAGAACTGCCCTGTAGGGTTTCCATGGAGCAGTTAGTGGATTTGAACGGCCAGCATTTTGGTTAGCAGCTGAACCCTTAACCATTGCACCACCAGGGCTCCCAGCTGAGGTTAGAGGTCATGAATTTTTAGAACTCCAAATTCCTATAGGTATGTATTTTTAATCCAGAGGTACTCAGCATTTTGGGAATAGTACTGCAGAGTGTAGCTGTAGATTAAGTTAGAATTTAGATTTTGCCAGATGGTTGAAATTAACGATGTTGAAGGTTCATGTGAGAAGTAGTTGGAAGTGTTGAGTACCCTGAGCATAGGTTGGCTAAGAAAGTTAAAAGAGGCAGGGTTGATAGATAGGAAGAAAATAGTGGGGTTCAAACCCCGGAGATTTTGTTGAGATTAGTTCAGTTCTCAGTTTCACCTTATTGCTAACTTAAGTAAAATGATAATTATCCCAGAAAGCATTTTATGAAATTTGTGCCTTTGAAACTTTTACTTTACCATTGACTTATGCTGACTTCAGTATTTCTTTATACTTCTTACCATTCTAATGCATTTATTTTATTCATGTGTGATTATTTTTAAGGAAAACTTAGCAGATGAATATGAACCACGAAGAAGGGATCATATTTCTCACTTTATTTTGCGCCTTGCTTATTGCCAGTCGTGAGTATACGTTTATGTTCTCATAGTCAAATCTGCTTTCTTGGTTTGTAAGTTGGTGCGTGGAGAGTTGATGTGTGCTGTACTGATTGTAGGAAAACTCAGAATAACACCAGGAACCTGTGGTACATGGTTTGATATTTTTTGACTTATTTCCAATTGTCTTTACCACTTATTCCTCCCTTTTGCCTTCAAGTGGTGGTACTGATGTCTGTAGTTGGTTCTCTTTACATTCTCTTCCCAAGTACTCGCCTGAAAGAGTAGGCAGCTAGTGACTTTGCACGATAAACCTTTCCGCCTGCATGGTTAGAAGAAAAGGCTAGGTGTACCATATTTTAAAGGTATTAACCCCCTTTTTGGAAAGATCCATAAATACTTACTGATTGAAACTTTAGTGAGTTGAACACTGTTGCAGTGAATTGAGGCAAGCTATTTACTAAAAAATATAGAAAAAATTTCCTATTGCAGTATTTTACTTGTTGAAACACTATTTAACATTATGGGATAGAGTCTTTGGGATTTAAAATTGGAAGAGATTTCATTAGGAAAAAGGACTTCTGATACTTCTTTCCAGGGAAAAAATAATATTTATAAGAAACAACACGTGCTTGAACCTGATACAAGTTTCAAGCAGTTGAAATGTTTACGTCCGTTCGTTCTAGGATAGTTTCCTGTGGTAGTTGTGTAAGTCAGTAGTGCCACCCAGAGGGAGAAGGAGTTAGTTGCTTTTTTTTTTTTTCTTGAAGTGTTTTTTTCCGTATTAATTTTGGCCAAGTAATATATTTGTGATTGGTTCTTTTTATTATTATAGGCTTATCAAGTGATAATCTTAAGTTGTTTACTCTCTCAAGATAATAATTTAGGAATTATTCACTAGCTTTGGTCCTAGGGTTTATCTTTTGTTAAAAAGCATAAGCAGTTTATTTGTTTTATGCAGTAAATGAATTGCTGACAATCTGTGAAAGTCACCTTGAAAACGTGTTATGATATTTTAAATGCAGTCAGGTATTTATTCTGTAGCTTAAGAATAATATATAAAATATTATGTGTGTTTTATAAATTAATATATTTATACGTTGGCTTTTCTTAATTGAGATATTGAAACTTCTTAAATTTAGTGAAATTATAAACTGCAAAGTTGTAAACAAAGTTTAATTTGCAGAGTTTATCTGATCCTAATGTACTCAGACATAAAGTTAGTTTTAAAAAAAAATTTGGTGTTTATTTGGCATTGATGAGATGACTTCAGATTAGAGGAGTTTCTCATTTTCTAATGTAAATGACTATTATACAGTAACATTAAATACAATGAACTATTTTATATTATTTAATAATAATGCAGCTAGACTCGAAGCATTCTGTAGTTAATCCTTTTAATTTTATGTTTATAACATCTCTACCCCCATATCCAACACATCCTTGGGAAATTGTAGCATATGGTAGTCATACTCTCTTTATTGTAATAGAGGACTGTATGCTTTTAGCTGCTTCTAGAATCTTGCTCATGTTTGAATATTGCTTCATATAAATTTCTAGGATTTAAAAATCATTGAACTTTTAATGTGTATTTATAATTTCCCGTCTCCATTTCAGTGAGGATCTTAGACGCTGGTTCATACAACAAGAAATGGATCTCCTTCGATTTCGATTCAGTATTTTACCTAAGGACAAGATTCAAGATTTCTTAAAGGATAGCCATTTGCAGTTTGAGGCTGTAGGTATATTTTTATAGTTATTTCTAATTGTCTTCATCTCTCCATTTTGCCTTGAAGTGCTGGTACTGATGTGTGGAGTTGGTTCTCTTTGTGTTTTCTTCCCAAGTACCTGTCAGAAAGAGTACGCAGCTAGTGATTCTGCACAACAATGAACCTTCTTCCCTCCCTGACTAGAGTAAAAGGGGTTCCTTAGTATCAAAGCCCTCACATTTAGTGGCTTTATTAAATTTGTGATTTAGTAAAGTACAGAAAAAGGAGCCCTGGTGGTACAATGGTTAAGCTAACCAGCTGCTAATCAAAAGATTGGTAGTGTGAACACACCCACCCACAGCCACTTTTTGAGAGGAAGACCTGGTGATCTACTTCCACAAAGAATACAGCCTAGAATACTCTATGGGGCAGTTCTATTCTGTCACAAGGGGGTTGCTATGAGTCAAAATTGACTTGTCATCACCAAACAACAAAAAAGTACAAAAAGGTTTAGTTTGTATAAGTTAATCTTTAACCAAACTCTTGTAGGCCAAAATTTTAAAACTAATAATGTATTAAGGAAAACAGATAGGTGATAGTTACTTATTTCCACTGGTGAACATAGAAGGGGTAATATTTTATTTAAAAAATTTGTTGTCAGTAGAATCTGCCTGTCTGAATAGTTTAAAAAATATTTTTGCAGACAAATCTGAATTATTTACATATTATAATTATATAAAAAGAAGAAATGTATGGGTCATATTTAGCAGGGACAGGTATTATAGATGGATATAGAATTTACATCTTTTAGGTGGATCTGTGCTGCAGTGGGGAGGTAGAAAATTCTGTTTTGGGACATCTAGAGCAATCAGAAGGTAGTAGGACTGGTTGTGACTATATTTTGGTGTTGGAATGGGTGGCTTGAGACCAAATAAGATAAGAAAGTAGAAGTTGGAGTAGACGAAAGAGATTGTCCTGTCTGACAAGTGGAAGATGTACCCACTGTAGCAAAGAGACTGTATGAAGGGAAAGACGCCACATTTAGTGTCTGTAATGTTTTAGGGAGGCACATGCACAGTTTCTCTCAGTTACTTCCCCTAAAAGCCCCATGAAGTTCAAAAGGTTTCTAAGTAATGTTTACCTAGGAAGCAGTAGAGATAAGTGTCAAGTGCAGGATCTTCTGACTCCAAAGCCCATGCATCTTCTACTTTGCTTTGAACTTTGATCCTCAGTGACATCCATTATTGCTAATATCAATTATAGTTCATTTGTCCTTTCATTTTAAAAGTAGTTTTTTTGTTGCTGAAATGGTTGATCTTTTTAGGTTACATAGAAAACTGTTCTTGAGAAGGTCTGTTCTTTGGAGTGTCTCAACATGTTGTCAAGTGTAATTTTTTTTATTGAGACGGGATTCACATACCATGAAATGCACCCTTTTAAAGTGTACAGTTCAGTGGTTTTGAGTATAATCACAGAGCTGTTCAACCATCATCACTATTTAATTTTAGAACATTTTCATCACCCTAAAAAAAGAAACCCCATACCCTTTAGCAGTCATTCCCCATCCTTCCCTTCCTGCCCTTGGCAGCCTCTAATCTGCTTTCTGTTTCAATGAATTTGCCTATTCTGGACATTTTATATGAATGACAAGTATACTTGTGTTCTTGCTGCTTTTTGTGATGGGAGTAATAAGGTTCTTTGTCTCTGACCCAAGAGTCTGTGTCTTTTGCCAGCATACAGGAAACAGTAATGGGCTAACTTATTGCCTTGTAAGCAGTGTAAAATTAAATTCCAGACCTGACAATCAGCTATGTAATTTTGGATAGATTTTTCTCTATTTCAGTTTTCTCTTCTTTTAAATGGGAATAATAATCTCTACCTCAGAGATTTGCGAGGTTTGAATGAGATAGTGTGTGTAGAGTGCTTAGTACGGTGCCTGGCATATATGTTAACTAGTAATATTATGGAGGGCATTAGAGGCAGCAAATACTTACGTGTTGGAGAAATTTGGGATCAATTAGATTGGCACATTTCACTATAGTTTTAAAAAAATCTATTTTGGGTCTTTTATTCTGGGAAACAAGAATTTGATAGAAAATATTTGCATAATTTTAACAAGTGTGCTGGCAGTCACTATCATAGTTTTCACTATTAGTCTGGTTGTTTACTACTTCGTTTGCTATAATTATTTATATGCTTATATTGTATTTTATTCTGCAAATCATTTGAGATGTATTATAATAAACATATCCATTCAAGTAAGATGTAGAAATATGAATAAAATTGGAAGATTGGCTGAAGGGAAAATTAATAACTATTTGTAGGGCATGGGTTGGCCCTTTGTAGTTTCTAAAAGGAACAGTATCTTTGGCTTCTTTCTTGTGTGACTTGTTTTGTTGTTTCTAGTTCAATGATTCTTGTTGGGTTATAGGATGAGGAGGTAGTCCTCCTAGGGTATTTAGCAGAACCTTGGGGTGGAGGTGTGTAGAGTATGAAAAAAATTATGCCTTTTGTTTTGAAACATAAACTACAGACTGTAAAGCTTAACCAAGTATTTGCAGCTGGTGGGGATTCATGGAAGATAGAGTGAGAAAGCACTGCAGGGGGTCTGCAGGAAATCCATTTTTGTGCTAAATTGTAATCACTTTCCTGGCAGAGGCCTTTTTTCTGTTCTTCTGGTGTTCTCCCATGGCTTCTGACTCTGGTAATCAAGACGCTTGAATTTAGGCACTGTTAATTAGCTTGCCCCCATGTCCCTGTGGCTCTTCCTATTTCATTTAGTCTTTTCCAACTGTTAGCCATTTCGTTAATAGGGACATGCACATTCTTTTCACTTTGATTAGAATATTTGGTTTGAATTTGAAAACCGTTTTGCTAAAACAGGTATCAGTGATGCTTTTATGCCATGTTTTAGACTCAGAGCAAAGCAAGGGTTGAGGGAGGTTTTTGGGATTTGTGTGTAAGATGCTCTCTGATGCATGATGGACTCTGCTGCCTAAGTTGAGGAAGAAGGAAAGCTGGGGGGTGGGGATCCATTGGGCCATCTTGGTTTCCGTGTAACAGAAGCATGATTGCTGACACAAATGTGTTCAGTCTACCTGCACTTGAAGTGCCTGTGTGTCCTGTTTGTATGGTTTTCTTTGTCTTTTTAGTTTCTTAAAGCTGCGGTGATTTTTGTGTTGATCTACTTCTATAAAATAGATATATTTTTACATTAGGAGATGCAATGCTGTAACTAAATTGCATTGTGTTTGCTTTGATAGATAAATATGTACAAGAAAAGGCATCATTAATTTGCATAGATTCTTCTCTTAATTTGTGCTTTTGTTTGGATTATCATGGCTGCTGTAATTTTATTGGATAAAAATTTGGAGGAGGTGGATGGGGCTCAATTATTAGACCGTGGACTCTTGAGTTCTATTTCTGACTCTGATAGTGCTTTTATACTTTGACTTTTTCAGTCTGTATGTGGGTTTCTAGTGAAATGTGACTGCTTCCTGATAGTAGATTCTGAATCTCTATAACATAGAACAGAAAGCCTTAATATGAAATGTTCAAAAAGGAAATTGGATGTTTTCCATTCTTTGATTTATATGTAAATAACTTGGATTTTAAATTTTAAATTTCTAAGGATTAGAAATGAATAAATATTGCTGGTTATGTGGACCATTTTGGATTTCTCATTTTTGAGTTGATTGACTTAACCTTGTGTCACGTTAAAGGTGAATGGGTAAGGTTAAGCGGATTCTATTAATGCTTCTTCAGTTGACCAGTTAGGGAAAGGTCAGGCTTTGACAGCTGTCAGCCTCATAGACAAAGGGTGTCTGTACTGTTACAATTTAGAGTCTTTGACAGCAGCTTATAATATACCTTGATGTTTTATAAAACCTCCTTCTTGTTGTTAGGTGCTCTCAAGTCAATAGCGACCCCATATGACAGAGTACAATTGCCCGACAGGGTTTCTTAGGCTGTAATCTTTATGGGAGCAGATGATCAGGTCTTTTCTCCCACAGATTCGCTGGTGGGTTTGAACTACCAACCTCTTGGTTAGCAGCTGAAGCTTAACCACTGTGCCATTTTGAAATACCAGTGGATCTATAATACCAAGATGCTTTTCATTAGAAAACTATGGAATGGCAGGGACAGTGAAGGTGAGCATCCGTAAAGAGGTGGAAAATGTTCTTTGTGTCACAGATGAAAACTCCATTGCATATTGAATAGAACTAGTGTCGTTCAGTTACCAAATATGTTCCAGATAAGTGAGAGTTTTTATAATGTGTTTGAGTGATGGCAAGTGATGTCGGTAACCTAACTGACTCACTTAAAACAAACCATGGCGAACCAAACAAAACCAAACCTGTTGCTGTTGAGTCGATTCCGACTCACAGCGACCCTACAGGATAGAGTAGAACTGCCCCGTAGGGTTTTCAAGGCTGTAAATCTTTATGGAAGCACACTGCCATATCTTTCTCCCATGGAGCAGCTGGTGGGTTCGAACCGCCCACTTTCGGTTAGCAACCGAACGCTTAACCACTGCACCACCAAGGCTTCTCTCACTTAAAACAAGTACATGTAAAACTTTGAATTGTTATATTTGCCTATTAAAATGTTTTTATTTTTAAATTTTTTTATTGTGCTGTAGATGAAGGTTTACAGAACAAATAGTTTTTCATTAAATAGTCAGTACACATATTGTTTTATGACATTGGTTAACAACCCCAAAAATGTTCTTCTTGTCCTGAATCTGGCATTTAAAATTTATTCTGTGAAACAGGACTTTATATGATTTGGATGTTGTGCAAACACCATATTATATATAGTATATGTTTGTATATATTCAATACAGGTATATCAAAGTAACCCCCACACAAGCTGCTCTGGCCCTCCCTTAGTGCCTGGAACCTTGGGGTTTGCAAACTTGCACCTGCAGTTGACTGCCTGTGGGCATGCAGCACTCTCTGGGCAGCCCCAGGTTGGAATTGGAAGCCCTGAGGGACGGAGGGTAGCCAGGCAGGCCCCTCCTCCCCAC